CCTTCAGGGTCTCTGTTCCAACATGTCTCAGGCGTTGCACCATTTTGAACTGAACATGTGGCATGGCTGATACACGGTCCACAAAACCTTCACTTCCATACATCCTGCTGCATTTGCAAATCTTTTTTCATTTTCTCCTTGCAGCGGTTGCCTTGGAAGGCTTGCTCTCAATGCTTTCGGTCTTCACTTCACAGTTTTTCCATGTCTCCCATGGCTTCCTCCATGGCTTCCTTGACTGTCAAGCCACTGGGCTATTCCAGATGGCGCCGGCGTGCCCTTCACCTTGTTGATGGCTTCTACGTAGCTAGGATTAGCGAGGTAGCAGATTTCTGGGAAGGGGTCACGCTTCGTAGTGATGCAAGCAATGAGTTCAGCTGTTGCAGCTGGCAAGCGTGGTTCAGCAAACGTGGATCTCTAGCCGGCACGGTCACGTGCATCTGGTGTCTACAGGGCCCTACCACGTCTTGTGAAGAACTTCCAACTGTTCTGCTGTCTGAATACAGCAGTGGCGCACCTTTCTGACTAAACGTTGTCAGACCACTAGTTGCCTTTGGCACAATGCCTCAAATTCAAAGGTGCAAGATATTGCAAGTTAAACTGGCTCAACACCTTTAGTCATGTTTCAAGTATACAGACCTGAGGCTGATGCGGGAGTAGGAATTCAAAGAGAAACAATGACTGCATCCTGGACCATATCTCCCTTATATGCATGATTCTACAAAATCCTGCGCGCACATATCATCGTCATCACTATTCCCTGCCAGGTCCTACTTCCAAATGTTTGGCAAAAATATGCAAAAATGCCTAGAAGATTTGATTCCGACAGGCTAAAACATCCCACAACATCTCATGTCCTTTACTTTAGTGGTTTCACATTTTGCTATGGAAAATGGATGAAAATATCCCAATTATCTCATAGATGATAAAGATGATGATTGACCTGTAAAATTTCAGATTTTCCATAGCTATCTTAGTTCGCGTCGAGCTGGTAGAAGCTCGCGCATGTTTTTTTGGGGGGCATGATCAAATCCCCTGCGTTCTACAGAGTTTTTGTCTTGCTGGAGTTTAGAAGAGCAAAATGAACTAACTTTTGAAGGACGTGGGGATGGTTTCTGTAAAACCCAAAAGACATAAACATCCCGACGGGGTGACAAACGCGCTAGCAGTTGTCCATGTTTTGGAATCAAATGTGCCTGGCGCCACAGCGCAGTAATCATTTCATGTTAGAATTGCACCTTGAAAATCCCGGGGATTTTGAAGACCCATTGTAACATTCGATTGGGTTTTACAGGGCAAAGCTTCTTCGAAGCACGACGTTTTTTTCCTCCGTGTGTATGTGCAAGAAAAGATATCTCTAGCGTAGCAAAAAGTATAACATCAACGCAAAAGATCTACAGCGTAGCATGAAGTATGTATGTATGTGCAAGAAAAAAATATATATATATATAATATAATATATATATATATAGCGACACAAGAAGTATGTATGCATGTGGCATGTGCAACAAAAAACATCTGTAGCGTAGCATGAAGTACGTGTGTTTGTGCAAGAGAAGATGTCTCTAGCGTAAAAAAATATATGTGTGTGTGTGAGTGCAAGAGCAGATGTCTCTAGCGTAGCAGGAAGTATATGTATGTGCAGGAAAAGATGTCTCTAGCAGCATAACATCAAGTATGTGTGTAAGTGCACTTAAACGTTCTTGGCCCCACCCCACCCCCCCTCCAAAACTACCAAAGATGCATTTCGTATTGCGGTTTTCTACCAGCCCGACACTTGTTAGTTTACCAATGGATAACTGTCATAACTCTTCTGATTCACAGCTGACCCCGCCTCTGTTCCGAGCCCTGAAACTGAGGGAAGGCCTCACACCGCGGCCAGAGCTGAGACGGCTGTAAGATTACCATCGATTAACTATAGATAGATTTGCTGTATATATATATATATGATTATATAATTATATGATTATATAATTATATAATTATATAATTATATAATTATATAATTATATAATTATATATATATATGTATGTATTCATGTTGGATTATAAAACTTTGAACATAATTAATCTGTTAACTGTTAACTATAGTTTATATAGAGTTAGTTAGTCTCCATTTTTGCTGGATACCGGTATTTGATGAAAAATAAGTAAATACATAGATACAGATACAATAGATATACTATCCTATTCAGTGACAAATGGTATTCAAACATATTCAAACTATAGAATTGTACCAGTAGCACAATGCAGAATATCCATCAATATCCAGTGTCTCTGTGTACATTAACTATATTGAAATATGCTACGAGTATATACAGATCTTATCATCGCAGTGCTGGTCGTCACATCGAGCCTTGACCCGCTCCAAGTGATATCTCGCTCTGAGACACTTGAAGACTTGTATCCACTTCCTGGGCGTGGATGAAATTTGGAAGCCTCTACAAGCACCTAAAGATGCCAAAATGTGTCAAGATATCCATCTTCCACTGACTTCAATCACGAAGATTGGATCTCAAAATATCCGAAGGAGCAGTGTTAATGGGATTCCCATAATGAATGATGATAATATATGATAATCCACCGTATGTATATATATATACAGTAATTATATAGTATATATGTATACTACCAGTGTATCAGGCAGTGTAAACCCTACAATAACCAACCAACAGGGTTTTTGCTAGCTGCTCTTATGCCTGTATTCTTAGCCAGTGGACTCACCTCGTGAAAAGCAGCTTCCGAGTCCTGCTCAGTCTCCTCGGTGATTTCCATGCGAGTTCCGCCTCGAGTGTGAACCTCTCTCAGCTGCTGCTGTGCCTTAGCTTGACAATGGAAAATCCAAGAAAAATGGAGGCTGCAACGGGGCATCTTCCATTGGCAACAAGGGAAATTGTCCAACTCTGTCACTCTCCTTTTCCAACACATGTCGCAAGTGTCTGTACTCGGATCTTCCCAACTCCTGCTGCTTCAAGACATGAGGGCTCGTGTTGATGTGAGCACAGTATGGCACAGTAGCCTAGCCAGCTCAACTCCATCGACCTCCCGCATACTTATGCAGTCCTCAACCTCTCATTCAAATAGGATTACAACGTATCATTACTTTTATAAAATAATTAATATGTTGTGCTATAACATACTATAACTACCCCATGTAATAAGTGACGTAGAGCGCCACTTAGGTAGTACAGCGGAGTAATATGGAGCAATCAGAGTTAGAACAAACAGCGGTAGTGGCACGTGGCCAAAAACTCCAGGTAGTGACCCCTGCGAACCATCTGGGAGTTCTGACACTTTCTGTAGCCCTCTCAGACTCAGCCAAAGCAGCCAGAGCCTCTTGACGAGCTGGACTGGGAAAAACGTGGAGAACCAATGACTTTAGCTTGTTCGAAGGGGTGCACGAATTGCATGACACGGGTCAACTGACAATGGAATAACTAATTAATACTAATTGATACTAATTGTATAACTGGATCTGCGCACTGCTTCTGAAGCATAATCGAAGTGGACGAAAATCGACAGCAGTGGAGATACCACAAGGATGACCAGGGCAAATCACCTGCTATGACCTGCCTCAGCCAGAGCGCCATTCAGACTTTCCTTCTCGTGGCTTTCTTCTGCCAGCTGCTTCTTCAATTCTATCAAGGTCACCTGTGAAAAAGAGCCATTGATGTGATGAAGATTGATGAAGTGTGAACTGCCATTGGAGCAAATAGCTTATCTGTTCAAACAAAATTGCCCCCAAAGAGCTTCAAAATTTGGTCCCTTCGCTCTCCCCGATCAAGCAATCGGCTGTGTCGAGCCTGCATTTCTTGCAGTTGCCTGGAGTGGCATTCGGGACATGGCTCCAAACAGCTAAGGCATGCTATAGCTATGACTGAGAATTGGCCTAGAATGGGGACAAAGTGGGTCACAAATTTCATCATGTCGTTGGTGTTAAAGCATCTAAGTTGATGGTTCATACATGATATACATGTAAATATCAATGCATAGCCGAACCAAACTGGCTTCGCATCACATGAGAAGCGAAGCGGATGGCCCGCAAGCACTTTTGGGGATTCTTCAATCCGTGGCTATCCAATATATACATGTTGACTGACCTCCTTCTCGCTGATCAATTAGGATGGCGATCATCGGCTACCCCGAAATTCCGTGCCTCCAAACTCCAAGACCCGCCTCGCCTGGCATCGCTTTGATCTGCGCTCGCAGTGTCCTGGCATGGGAAAATATGAGAAAACGATAGAAAAAGCGAACCTTGGAATTTTCACCTATTAAAACATATTTAAAAAATGTAACAAAAATACAAAAGAAGAAAAGAACTTGGATCTGTTGCATCTACCTGGCACGTTGCAGTGTTCCTGAGCCATATCCTCCACAAACCACCAGAATTGGGGGTACCTGAGCCCAGAATTGGGGGGTACCTGAGCCATATCCTCCAACATCCCATGTCCTGTGGTCTCCCGAGGCTTGGCTCAGTTGGCTTCACCTCTTCCGGCAGCCTCGAAATGAGGTGCAAATGAGGTACCAAAACCATCCATGATCCATCCATGGTTGGGGATTGTATGGGATTGTTGGGGTGATTTTTCGTCCAACTTTAAGACCTGGGGGGGAAAAGGTCCGGAGGGGACATTTAAACAATTTATGCCATCTTTGTGAGTACCCTTTTTGGCACATTGAGAACCCATATCCAACAACCAACTATGTGAACCAGGTGGGAATCCTCATTGCTGCAGCAGCTTAGGGGGCCATGGCCAGTTGCTGAGAATGTTGGCCTCTCTCAACTTCACAACGGCATCCTTAAAACGATAAAACACCAAGGTTTCTCTCAAAACTTAAAACAATGATTCATTGGGGGAAACCCAAAATCCCATTGCTTATCATCATGGTTTTCCGCATGAGAATGACCATCTTGGCCTATCCCCAACGTTTGGACAAACCGACGAAGTTTGCTTGGCAAACTCGGCTTCAGCATCTTTGGCTGGCTCAGGTTATTCGGCCAGCGCTCATCCTCTGGCACATTTGCGAAAACCTGGGCCAGAAAAGTGTGGGACATCAGGACTTCTGTAAAACTTTAGGAGTTCGAACCTGCCAAACGTGAACCCAACACAACAAATCCCTTGAATATCTTGAATTATATAATTGCTATAGGGTTTGTCTGAAAGGTACCCCAAAATCATCCAGAATCCTATGGTTGATCACCTGTTGATCACCTTATTTGGCCGTTTTTAACGGGGCGTCACCCACCAGAACTGCCAAGCCTTGGCTTTCACTGATGCGTTTGCGATACTCGCTGACATAGCGCCTCAGCGGGACTGAAGTTCCCGGCTTCTGGAGTCAACTTGGACTGCGACAAAAACGTGATGATTATCAAGTTATCAAGTATAGCAAACAAAAAAAATATAGAGAAACACTACGCCACTTTTTTTTCTTATAGAGATTTTACTATTCAAAATGATTCCAACAGGCTTCGGATTGTTTGCTTGAGATTTGAGCATCAGACTTGAAGGGATCGCGCATCCCTTCACTGGGACTTTGACCTGGATCATCCAGAGAAAATCCAAGGTCTGTTTTTCTTAAGCGGAAACCAGGGATTGGAACACTTCCCGTTTTTGGACAAAACCAATCAAAACATATCAACACCATAACATACCATATCCATGTCAGTTAGTACAGTATCAGTTAGTTATACTGTACATGAGGTACTCATGAGGTCATTTAGTCAACTGCCTTCAGGGTTGACTCGGCTTCATCACCGTTGTACCCGTCGAGGCCTTCGGGGTCTTGGGTCCCTTGGGTCCGTCGTGGCCATCGCGTCCAAGGGGCTGACCTTGGTGATCGGCAGAATCATCACTCGCAAGACCCCTGGGCACCCCATGAGGCGCTGACAGCAAGGACATGGAGTCCTGAAAATGCCCATTCCTCAGGAAGAATAGGAAGAAAAGTAGGATTACTAGGAGTTACTAGGGCCACTAGGGCAGGGATGGTATGGGTATTGCCATGTGGCTCAGGCTCCGTGTTGAAGTCACTACGGTCTTGATGTATTGCAGGAGACCTATCAACACAGTTGGCTGCCTGGAAATGCTGAGGTCTCTACAAGTTAGTTCCAAGATAGAACGGCTTCCCACAAGCAGCGTCACCAGCCAAGACGATCCAACCTTCACAGAATGGTGTGAGTTGTTCCGAGCTCTTGATAATGGGTGAGACGGTGACCGCCTTCCCTAAACACCGGTGATCTCTTCACTTCAATTTGGACACACCGGTTGACCATAGCCTTCACCATGTGATATAGCGCAACCCGCATCAAATGAATATGACCCATGTTGGTGTCCTTCAAAAATATGTTGGGAGAAGTATTTAGAATGTTGACCCACACTCATACCACCAATGTTCCCTCCTGGAACTTTCGATCACAATTGAACACCACCATGTTCTGAACGTAAATCATCTACAAAAATGTGACATGTCTAGAAATGGTCAACGCTGCTTATGGTAAACCTGGCGGTAAATCTTGCCGTGTTCAAGGCCATGTTCTATGCATTGCCGTGCGCTAGACCTGTACACAAATGTGTGAGTTGCCTTCCAAATCTTCCCGCTGCACATGCTCCACCACCTGGCAACAAAGATCGAGTGGTTTTGTGAAGGCCGGGGTCACATGGTTCCTGAGTAGGGACCTAATGGCTGATAGAATTTAATGAATTTAATTAGAGAGAGAGAGAGGCATGTGGCATGTGGATGCATGTGGTACACTATCCTCCCAGAAGAACTAACTGTATAATTCGTATAATTCAAGCCGTTTTCGTATACCTTTGAGAAATGATGACCATCCATGCCATTCTGCATTGGATGCGAGAAAAGGGTTTTGTCCTGTTTCCCGACTGAAGAGATCTGAGGATCAGAAACGTCCCACACCGCACCTCCTTAGAGTGCCAAAAAGACCTGGGTGCTGAGAGTGGCCCCAACTGGGATGACACTGCTTATTCTTCGACATGGATCAATTCTCCAGTTGTCACGTAACAAATTCAAGCCCAGCAAAACAGTTGCTTCGAAAGATAAGTAAGTAAGAACATGTTGAAAGGAGAGGATCTGAAAGAAAACTTGAGGCGCAAGTTGTGCAGCATGTGCCGCATATGAGAGTCAATAATTTCACGTAAACCTCTAACACCACAACGAGCGGTTGGACACACTGATCAAATGATGTCAAATGCGTAGTTTGACCAAAGATATGATTATTCAATTTCCATTCCGAAGGGAATCAATAGAACTATATGGCTATTGGTCAAAACCCTGGCACCTAGTGAACCCCAAAATAGCTGGTAAATGGATGTTCATCCCATTAGAATTGATAATAATAGGTTTTGACCCACCCCCATATGCAGAACCATTTGAACTGGAAATTGACCCACTCCAGGTGATGCCGACGCCAGCGTCACGCGTGGAGCAACTTCCAAAGGCCTCAAAGGTGCCATGATCAAATCGAGGTTTCCGAAAATAGAGCTACCCTCTGGAAATTTAACGTAGCTATTGAAAATGGCCATTTATAGTTGATTTACCCATTAATAATGATGATTTTTCATGGCTATGTTAGTTACCAGAGGCTACCCCCAAATCATCCAAGTCATTACAGACTGTTTTAGTATCGAAATCCATTGTTTCGGGGATGCCCCCATTTTAAGAAACCCCCGATTTATGGTCGATGGAGAGAGCAATGATGATGACGCTCTGGGAAAAAAAACACGGATTATTTCCGATACCACTTGCAAAAACTGTGCACATAGGTTTTTCAATGAAGGGTTGCACCTACTGCTAATCAACCAACCAGTGGGAAAAAAATATATCTAGAGTGGAACGTTGATTAACCACTGGTTATTTTCATTATTGTCCCTACTGTCAAATCTACCAACTATCATTGAAATTCAGTTGCAACAAGCATGACTGGAAAGAAAACCATTCACAAACCGAGAGGCAAACCAACCAACTTCAACGATAGTCTCAGCGCATTTGTCAAGATGCTGGTTTTGTATGGTTTTGTGCTGCCACAGCACCTTTCAAAAAATGTGAGGTTTCACAGTCAAAATAAGCTGGGGCTTTGAAGACAGACGCAATGGCTCAAGTTTACTGTCGGCAGAATCCTGATCAATACTGTAGCAAAAACAAAAACAAACAATGTCGGTTCCTATCATTGTTATGATGGGTGTCATCTGCACCATCATAACCATGAGATACCATGAGCATGAACAGAACATTAACAGCAAACAAGAACAAACAACGCCAACGAAACATGAACAACAAGAGAAACAAATAGCAAGAACATTAACATGATCATGAACCACATCAATGTGAACATGGGCATGACATGGCATGACCATCATGATCAACATCTTACAAAAAAATATGAGCATGAACAGCATAAATGTGAACAACAAAAACGTAAACAACATGAGAATAAACAGCATGTAGATGAACAACATGATCATAAACAGCATGAGGCATGAACAACATGATCATCAACAAGAGCATGAACAACATCAACATAACAAAAACATGAATATGAAAAACCATGAACAACATGAGGCATGAACAGCATGAGCATGAACAACATGAGGCATGAACAACATGAGGCATGAACAACATGAACATGAACAAGATGAGCATGAACAACATGAGGCATGAACAACATGAGCATGAACAACATGAGCATGAACAACATGAGGCATGAACAACATGGACAACATGAGGCATAAACAGCATGAGCATGAACAACATGAGGCATGAACAACATGAGCATGAACAACATGAGGCATGAACAACATGAGGCATGAACAGCATGAGCATGAACAGCATGATCATGAACAGCATGAGGCATGAACAACATGATCAGGAAGAGCATGAGGCATGACAAAATGAGGCATGAACAACATGATCATGAACAACATGAGGCATGAACAGCATGAGCATGAACAACATGAGGCATGAACAACATGAGGCATGAACAGCATGAGCATGAACAACATCAGGCATGAACAACATGAGCATGAACAATATGAGCATGAAAAACATGAGCATGAACAACATGAGGCATGAACAACATGAGGCATGAACAACATGATCAGCACAACATGATCATGAACAACATGAGCATGAACAACATGAGGCATGAACAACATGAGGCATGAACAGCATGAGCATGAACAACATGAGGCATGAACAACATGAGCATGAACAACATGAGGCATGAACAACATGAGGCATGAACAGCATGAGCATGAACAACATGAGGCATGAACAACATGAGCATGAACAACATGAGGCATGAACAACATGAGGCATGAACAGCATGAGCATGAACAACATGAGGCATGAACAACATGAACATGAACAACAAACAACATGAGCATGAATGAACATGAGGCATGAACAACATGAGGCATGAACAGCATGAGCATGAACAAACATGAGGCATGAACAACATGAGCATGAACAACATGAGCATGAACAACATGAGGCATGAACAACATGAGGCATGAACAGCATGAGCATGAACAACATGAGGCATGAACAACATGAGCATGAACAACATGAGCATGAACAACATGAACATGAACATCATGAGGCATGAACAGCATGAGCATGAACAACATGAGGCATGAACAACATGAGCATGAACAACACAAGCATGAACAACATGAGGCATGAACAACATGAGCATGAACAACATGAGGCATGAACAGCATGAGGATGAACAACATGAGGCATGAACAACATGAGCATGAACAACATGAGCATGAACGACATGAGGCATGAACAACATGAGCATGAACAACATGAGGCATGAACAACATGAGCATGAACAACATGAGCATGAACAACATGAGGCATGAACAGCATGAGCATGCACAGCATGAGGCATGCACAACATGAGCATGAACAACATGAGCATGAACAACATGAGGCATGAACAACATGAGCATGAACAACATGAGCATGAACAACATGAGGCATAAACAACATGAGCATGAACAACATGAGGCATGAACAACATGAGCATTAACAACATGAGCATGAACAACATGAGCATGAACAACATGAGGCATGAACAACATGGACAACATGATGCATAAACAGCATGAGCATGAACAACATGAGGCATGAACAACATGAGCATGAACAACATGAACATGAACAACATGAGGCATGAACAACATGAGGCATGAACAAAATGAGGCATGAACAACATGAGGCATGAACAACATGAGGCATGAACAACATGAGCATGAACAACATGAGGCATGAACAACATGAGCATGAACAACATGAGCATGAACAACATGAGGCATGAACAGCATGAGGCATGAACAGCATGAGCATGAAAAACATGAGCATGAACAACATGAGGCATGAACAACATGAGGCATGAACAGCATGAGCATGAACAACATGAGGCATGAACAACATGAGCATGAACAACATGAGCATGAACAACATGAGCATGAACATCATGAGGCATGAACAGCATGAGTATGAAAAAACATGAGCATGAACAACATGAGGCATGAACAACATGAGCATGAACAACATGAGGCATGAACAGCATGAGGCATGAACAGCATGAGCAGGAACAACATGAGGCATGAACAACATGAGCATGAACAACATGAGCATGAACAACATGAGCATGAACAACATGAGGCATGAACAGCATGAGCATGAACAGCATGAGCATGAACAACATGAGGCATGAACAACATGAGCATGAACAACATGAGCATGAACAAAATGAGGCATGAACAACATGAGCATGAACAACATGAGCATGAACAACATGAGGCATGAACAACATGAGGCATGAACAACATGAGGCAACAACATGACACATGATGCATGAACAACATGAGCATGAACAACATGAACAACATGATGAAAAAAAAAAATGAGCATGAACAACATGAGCATGAACAACGTGAGGCATGAACAGCATGAGCATGAACAGCATGAACATGAACAACATGAGGCATGAACAACATGAGGCATGAACAAAATGAGGCATGAACAACATGAGCATGAACAACATGAGCATGAACAACATGAGGCATGAACAGCATGAGCATGAACAACATGAGGCATGAACAACATGAGGCATGAACAACATGAGCATGAACAACATGAGCATGAACAACATGAGGCATGAACAACATGAGCATGAACAACATGAGCATGAACAACATGAGCATGAAAAACATGAGCATGAACAACATGAGGCATGAACAACATGAGCATGAACAACATGAGGCATGAACAACATGAGCATGAACAACATGAGCATGAACAAAATGAGGCATGAACAACATGAGAGCATGAACAACATGAGGCATGAACAACATGAGGCATGAACAGCATGAGCAGGAACAACATGAGGCATGAACAACATGAGCATGAACAACATGAGCATGAACAACATGAGCATGAACAACATGAGGCATGAACAACATGAGGCATGAACAACATGAGCATGAACAACATGAGCATGAACAACATGAGCATGAACAACATGAGGCATGAACACCATGAACGCGGACAAGCACCCAAATAGCAAAACAGTTTGAAGCGAGTTGCTTCAACAGTTGGTCCAGGTAGCCCAGTGCTGAGCTTGGTCCCAATTGTGGCCTGGGTGACGCCATAGGTATTCCCATAGCTAGCTTCTGGCCAACCAAGTCATTAGCCAATGGAATTGGAAATGATGGCAATACCATTCGGAGATACTGCAATATACCAAGCCAATTTTCATACCAGCGAGGATTGGGTACACCGTTGGTATGTCCCAAGTAAATGGCAATCCCAATCAGTTATACCGAATTATACCCCAAACTGGCAATCTTGATTGGGAGAATGACGATAAACTATGATAAACCATTGGGATCTTGGCGTGTTCATATTTTCAGCCGAACCGAACTACATGTTTCTTGCTCGAAGAAATGGGAACCCGTGTTTTCGGATGGAAAGTTCCAACATTTTCCTGGTGTGTTCAATGGGATTGACGATTGAGGGTTCACTGTCTAATTCCAGCCATTTCCGGAGGATGAATCATCACTAATAGCAAGTCATAATCAGTGCGACAGTGCTGTGACAGTGATAGCAAATAGCATGCTGCAAAACGGATAAAGATCGATTTCCAAGACTACTGGGCACCTTTCAAGAGACCAAACTTGCAAGTTTGAGACGACTAGTGATGCACCAAACTGCTTGCAGACCAAGGACTTCTGCTTGCCAGCCTTCTTTTTGGAAGGAACCCTGGGTGCTTTTGTAACACCTGGGCAACCAAAGAGAACTGGACTTCCAGCAACATACCCTGGTCCTTCTTCTTACCCCCTCAAGAACTTCCCCGTTGAGCCTCTGACGCTCCACTTGTGTAATCTGTTGTAGTTGCCAACCGCCCAGTTGGGTGAACCCGATATCAGCCCGGCCCTAGAGTGCCGAGCGTCTCTTCCACATATCTAGAAAAGATGCAAAGGTGGACTTTTGCGGCTGATCTGGCAGGTCCTGCAGAAAACATCCATGGTGGAAATGGATCTTTCTTAGTGAAAACCATGTTGACAGCCCATCACTGTTCATCTCGCCTGTGCAGATCCACTTTCGATGGAGCTTCGAATGTGATCTCAGAAGAAAAACTGAGTACGCCACGTGTGTCTGATAATGTGGGATATCATGGGATATCCAAAAATGAGCAATTTCACAGGGAAAATATGGGAAAATATGGGAAAATGGTGATGAACCTGTGGATGGAATGGGGTATCATATATTTTCAGATGAGACTGTTCTCATTGGGAGCTTCCCAGCTGGCTGTTTTGTGGAACTGAGACTCCAGCTCAGGACATCCGGAGACAAACCCATGATCCAAAGCCAGCCCTGCCAGGCATTCGAAATCCTACCTTGAAATCATCCAGCTTGACTTTACAAGTCGCAAGCAAGATGACTGGGGGTTTAAACTCAAAAAACTGCCGGGCCTCCACATCATGATCCTCATGAGATTCACCAAAATCAATGCTGTCATGTAATTATGAGACAGAACCAGCCTGGATCTCATTGGGACGGTTGAAAAAGGGCCTATCCGAACACCTCGCCTGATCCTCACTTGCCCCAGGCCGCAAGATATACATCGGTTGGCCAGGAACTTCAAAACGTCCAACACCACTGCGCGCCTGCGAATGGGGCAACTGGCTGTGAGTCAAAGTCTCAACCTCAGGAACACTTGAAATTCATAAAGTTCAATCGATTTTACACTATGTCTATCTATGACATCGAAAATGTATGTTCTGTTCATTTCTGTTCTAAAAATGACTTCAAATGTATATATATTAAAATATGTAAAACCATGGTTTAAAACTATCCAATTTACATCACTTTGGGCGCTGTCCTCCTGCACCGTCTTTTGCAGCTCGTTCCCCGGTTGCAAGGCAAACTTCAAGATGAGGGCCTTGAATCAAGATGAATCAGGATGAAGTGACCAACATCTGTGGCCAAAAATTGGGAGGTTTTACATCAATTTACCCTGAAATTTACATATTTTGACATTTTTTCACTGAGAAACTGATAGAACATGAGGGTCAATTGATGGGAAAATTGATGGGAAAATCATCACTGAGATTTGGAGGTGCCCAACGACGCCATCCCAATGTGCCCCATCTTTTTGGGCTGGTCGGGAAGTCAGGCCATCAAGCCTCTCTGCGCGGCTCTGTTCTTGGAACGAGGACCACACACTGCACAGATCTGCACAGCACACGGGAAAATAACATTAACGTATTGTGTGCATCTAGATTGGACAAATGTGCAAGCAATCTTTTCGAATGCCTGATGCCCATTTCAAAGGGAATTACATGGATTGAAGAACGGTCCTAACACACTTGATGTGGAAACATCTTCAAAAGCTTCCTTGTCCCGGATCATGTAATACACCGCCAGCCTGAGCAACGCACGTTGATTCTTCATCAGGGGTCCAACGGTCCAAATGGGTTGCGGTCAAAACAGTTGCAACCAAATATTGTCCCAAGAATGAAGAGAATGCATATTCCCTATATTTTGCCTGGGATTTCCATTATCATCTATCCATTTTCCATCATTTTCTATGATCAAGTTGGACCAGCCAAACCTTGCCGAGCTACGTGTTTTGGCTGGGCTTGAAGATCAAGATCAGGCCAAAGCCAGGGTGCGGATAGGGCAAGACTGGCATGTGTGCAACATGCTGGGATCCAGGTAAAGAGACCTGACAAGCACTCCAGCTTTGCAAAATTCACCCCTCTGGCCCCCCTCAACTGGTTAATTAGTAGATTTAGTAGCTTCAACCCAAACGAAAAAACATGAAAAAGGTCACTTTAGATGTCAAGAGGACAAAGGACATCAAAAAGCCTGAATAGCAGATATCATCCATCCACCCAAAAAAAATCCCCCCAAACCCCCAAAACCAAGAGACTTCTTGGAAGAAATGTGACCAGTTGGATACCAAGCCATGTCGCAGTGTCATGGATTCCCACCACCCGGGAGGAGCCAAGGTTTCAGGTCCTGCCAACGACTTCCGAACGCCCTCAGGGCGATGGAATCTCTCAGGCGCCAGATGGATGCGATGGACGTAGTTCCCAGCGTTCGATTCATTGGCCCCCAAGCCGCGATTCCGTAGGTTGATAGACATATAACCATAGCCAAAGCCGGATTTTTGAAGCAGGTGAGAGGTCAAGATGTCGTTGGTGGAGACTTTGGTGTCAGATTCAAGTTTTAGTTTTGAGATGTAATCTTGATCCACATACCGCACTTCTGGTTCCTCTGGATGCCATAGGCAGAAGCTTCGCAGCAGCCCCACCAAGGTCGGACAAGTTGTCAACCAGTTCTTGGCAGCGAATGTCGCCGTAAAAATAAGCGCTCCGTCAAAAAATGACAGCTGTATCAATGTAAGATAAAGCAAGTGGCAATATGATGCAATATGAATCATCTCTCTTAGAACCCTCAAACGGACAAAAGATGCAACATGCTAAAGTCTCGTAGTGAAGTTCTGAAGTGGCTGGCCCTTGGCCCTAGATTCTCATCATCACATGCAGCACTTGGATCATGGTCATTGCGCATACCACTTGCCCAGTTTGCCCAGTGCTGGCGAAATGACCTATTCAAACGGCACCCAAAATAGATCCATAACGACCAGCATGGTGATATCAAAGTCCCAAACAATAATGAAGATACTTACCGTTGACCCGCTGGTAATCAAGCCCGGCATTGTTTTTTAAAATCTGAAAATCATATAGTTTTTTAATGGTGCCATGATGTTCCATGGATTTCTTCATATTTTTTCCATTGGTTTTTCCATTTTTTTCCATGGGAGATTTTCTGCCCAGCCATGGCCAGGCTCAAAGTGATTGGGTCCGATCCTCTCTGCTGCCAGTCGAGAGAAGCCAACTTGTCGGAGGGGGTCCATGCTGACCACCGATGCCTGCGATTCGAGACATGTGGAATATGAGATCATATGACTGTTGAAATGATGATATGAATATGATACACTGCTATATGATATGATATGTGACATGTGATATAATTATGATATATAATCATGATATGGGCCACGGTCAATATTTAGCATATAGCTCCAAGTCATCAATTTTTGAAGAGTGTATTATCGATTTTCAGGTTTGGGGAATATAGTAAATGTATGTATAAATGTTATCGTTTTTTGAAGAGTGTATTATCGTTTTCCAAGCCGAGCCCCAGCTCAATTTCCAAAAATAAAGATGTCTCGAATACTACTTTCCATTGCGGTAAATTTTGGCTGTAGCTCATATAAGAATGATATGATTATGACATGATGTTGATATGATTATGTTATGTCATGTTATGTAATCTTATATTATTCTATGCTATGCTACTCTGCACTATGCTATGTGATGTGTGATATGGACTGACAGTTGGACTGATATGGACTGATATGGACCGACACGGACTGATATGGACAATTTTATGGTCTTTATTATGTGATAGGTGGATAATATGATCCATTTATATGGACTGATATGGACTGATTAGCCTATATACATGATAGGTGATCTATGATTCTTGAGATGCCATGAAAAAAGCCATGCTAATGCTTGCATCTGTACCTATGCCATGTGAGGATATTAAGATTATGCCGCTCATCCCCATGAAAATCATTGAACATCCATGAAAACTATGCCATAATGCTGGCTTGAAACAAAAAATAAGCCCATATGGGTGTATGAAAATTTCCATAAATGGTGGTACCCCCCAAATCATCCGTTTTAATGGGATTTTCCATTATATATATATATATAAACCATCCAGCTTTTGGGGTACCCCCATGGAAACCTGCATATTGAGCCCGGGTTTTTTGTGCCAAGCCAAAGCACTGCCGGGTCAAGCATCCCAGAGAGTTTGTAGAAAGTGAAGCCATCGCCTGAAACTCAGGAGGGCCCAGGGCCAGGAGGGCCCATATTGATACCATATTAACCATTAATATGATATATGAACCATAACCATATATGGACCATATATGGACCATATATATATATCATATATATATCAACCATCCATATTAGTATAGGATGGTATAGCTTCAATGTTCTACCATAGTCGTGAGAAACTGGGATTATCTGGGATTATACCCTGGATAAAAAACCTAAACTCAAAACCGGAACGCCAAGTATCTCATGAGAATCCCAGTATCCAGTTGTGGCTTGCAAATTCACCAGACATATTGGGTCGTAACGGTCGTAATGGGAACATGTGGCAACTGGAAGGGTCTCATCCTAAATCCTTTTGTAGGAAAAACCATGGCTGAAGTTCTTCGAAGGTGTTGGACATGTTGTTATTAGTCCTTGATTCTACGGGTGGCCAAAAAGGAAATCCAGCTCACACCCAGCAATACTTGGGTCTTGTGAAAAGCAAAAATAATGAACCCTTTTTACCAACTTTGCCCAGTTGCCGATGGTGTGATTCAGAGACACCACCAACAAGAAATGCTGGGGCTCAGCAGGGATAGCTGGCACTCTGAAGAGAGACTCGTTGCGATTCAGGCAAGCCAGTCCGTTCTTCAGCACCGCTGCTGTTCTCTGCACATGTTTCACCACATCAAAAAAGCTTGTTCCGGGATGAATGGACATAGCCGGTTCACATTCCTTGGCATTTCATCTGGCACTTCACAGATTCCACAGTGAGGTCCTTTCCACTTTTTTATGGGTAAACAAATTGACAAAAAAAAACAATCTGGAGTCAAGCATCCATAAAGTGATCTTCTGTCAATGTTTTCGGAATTGCCAAGAAGGGACCTCAAGCCATGCTCAGCTATCAGGCTGTTGCGTGTTTGCAAATCGTTGACTTCACGAAAACAAATGCAACAGCATCCTCTGGTTTCAAGATGTTTCAGCTAGGCACAGCGAGCACAAAACTGACCTCAGATACCTCGAAAGCTGATGAGAATTGATGACATTGCACAATTTTACAATATTTTACAAGTTTGATTAATTTTGAATTATACCGGGTATTCGTACCTGGGTCGGGGCGCCTGGCGCGGGGGCGCAGTCAAGTGACGTTCGAAGCCCTTTCGCAGTCGACCACTGAGCCATGGATTTGCGCCAACGATCTCTCGCACCTCAGAGCTGTACTCGAAATATTGAGATATGCATAGATATGCCTCCAATATCTCCAAAGTCATGGCTTTTTGCATGAGGTCGATTTTACGCGCTTTAATTGAGCTCTTAGTCCCTTCCCAAGATTTAGGTATATGTGTTCAAAATCTGCTCGGGCAATCACTAAGGGAATTCATTCAGGTCAGAAGTCAGGTCAGAAGTCGATATGGTGCGTGTAAATCCACTGGTTCATCCTCATTTTCCCACTTCAAATGGCCATAACTTAGGGTATACCAATCATGTTACAGTAAATCCAAATAAATCCAAATCCCCCATATTCTTAAGACACACCCCATGAAAAAAATCGTGCTAATCCGTGCTGAGTGGCTCGTCTTTTCAAGTACTCCACTGGGATGACACCGCGGTAGAGAGTTGCAGTGCAGACTGGAGGCACCAGCATCAAATTCCGTGGGCTGGCCTGGGTCCACCAGGGGAAAGACCTTTTTAGAGTGATGTCACATCACATGTTTTGATATATGTGCATGTAGATTGTAGTATAAATGTACATATTCCAATATATTCCAATATGTATAATGTAGCATACATTATTATATATATATTATATAATGTATATATGTTACATACACATCTAATCTATGTGAAATAATTACATATGAATATATCTATGCGGGTTTATCATGGTTTATCACCATCGAAACCTTCTTTCCGGGCCTCCATGTCATAGTCAAGTTCCAGCCGCTCCCAGTTCTTCTCGGACACTTCGCCAAAGAGAGGCAGCGCGGCGAACCAAGAGTCAAGACCATCGCTACACATGGAATTCGTAGTGAATCTCCGTGGGCCAGGGTCAAAAAAACTAAGACCCTGGGGACCACATACAACTGGTCATGACTGGTCATATTTAGGACACCCCATTTTGGTCTCAGATGTTGATCCCTTTTCGGTGTTTCGTGCGGCTCTTTGAGTTGGCACTTGGACAAAAATGCATTAGTTTCCCCCCGCTGTCCGGCTATGGCCTTTGAACCGCAGGCACCGCATTGGATGCACAAAACGAGAATCCACAACAAGCTTCCAGTGGATAGCCAACCTTGCCTGACCTGCTTTCAAACCCGTCCCAAAGATTTTGGCCAATTTTAATTTACTGGAAAATTACCGTGATCGCTCATGATCACCATCCCAGCTATGTACAAGTAGAATGGAAAAAGACACCATAAACCACCCGGCGGGTTGTTTATCGAACCCACGTTTTCAACGTTTGCAGTCTTCGTCATTGATTTTTTACCACAAATCACAGTGGTTTTGCATTTCCCTGAAAGTGCAAATTCCTTAAAAAGTACGCGCGTACTTTTGAGTGGAAATGTCAAAAACCTCAGCGGCGCTCTCATTTTTTCTGCGCTAAGTGGTCTTGACAATCTGTGCAAGACGAATAACAGCAGCGTAGCATCAAATATGTGAGGAAGTGCAAGACGACATACAAGAGCGTAGCATCATATATGTGAGGAAGTGCAAGACGAATAACAGCAGCGTAGCATCAAATATGTGAGGAAGTGCAAGACGACATACAATAGCGTAGCATCATATATGTGAGGAAGTGCAAGACGACATACAAGAGCGTAGCATCATATATGTGAGGAAGTGCAAGACGACATACAAGAGCGTAGCATCATATATGTGAGGAAGTGCAAGACGACATACAAGAGCGTAGCATCATATATGTGAGGAAGTGCAAGACGAATAACAGCACGTAGCATCATATATGTGAGGAAGTGCAAGACGACATACAAGAGCGTAGCATCATATATGTGAGGAAGTGCAAGACGACATACAAGAGCGTAGCATCATATATGTGAGGAAGTGCAAGACGACATACAAGAGCGTAGCATCATATATGTGAGGAAGTGCAAGACGACATACAAGAGCGTAGCATCAAATATGTGAGGAATTGCAAGACGACATACAATAGCGTAGCATCATATATGTGAGGAATTGCAAGACGAATAACAGCAGCGTAGCATCATATATGTGAGGAAGTGCAAGACGACATACAAGAGCGTAGCATCATATATGTGAGGAAGTGCAAGACGACATACAAGAGCGTAGCATCATATATGTGAGGAAGTGCAAGACGACATACAATAGCGTAGCATCATATATGTGAGGAAGTGCAAGACGACATACAAGAGCGTAGCATCATATATGTGAGGAAGTGTAAATGAACGTTATCATCCCACCCCACCCCACCCCACACAATAACGTAGCATCATATATGCGAGGAAGTGCAAGACGACATACAATAGCGTAGCATCATATATGTGAGGAAGTGCAAGACGACATACAATAGCGTAGCATCATATATGTGAGGAAGTGCAAGACGACATACAAGAGCGTAGCATCATATATGTGAGGAAGTGCAAGACGACATACAAGAGCGTAGCATCATATATGTGAGGAAGTGCAAGACGAATAATCACAATATAGCATCATATATGTGAGGAAGTGCAAATGAACGTTATCATCCCACCCCACCCCACCCCGCCCCACCCCACCCCGTTAACCCCATGATAAAAACATGCAAAACGCTGGTTCGGTTTTCAACCCGTAGGCATAAACCACAAACCGTAATGTTATCAGAGCATACATCACAGCTTCCGGGAACTCTTCAAAACTGCCCAATACGCATCTTCTGAACCTCTTCGCAGCGGCCAAGCGAAACTTCAAAGCCATGTCCTGCATGCAGTGATTGGTCCTCTATGATCCTCTACAAACTACCCAATACCAAGCCTTTAGGATGATGTAAACTTAAACCATAGGGATCTACTATAGGGCCCAAAACTGGGGCAGTCCATTGCCAAAGGGCCTCCACGCCACTCATCACATGGCCAGTTTCTTCCAGTCGCTACAAAGACAACATCATGGTCGGCCAATAACGCCTGCCACAGGCCAGGTTCACCCGGCTACACGATGAGGATCAACAAATCGAATTGCACCCCTGCTGATTTCCAGACTTTCGTGAATCATCATGCTGAGTATTGGTCAAAATTGGGATAGCCATGGACACTGGATTCGCCACTTGAACCATAAAATATCATAACATGTCCATGCTTTTGGTACACGAAATTGGCTGCTCAATTGCCGCTCCGCTTGCAGGGCCTCTGGGTCGTCGATCTGGCATCCCATGTGTAGTGCACCAAAACCACACTGGCTGTACTTTTCAAACTCCTGGGGAATTGCACGATGAAGCACCAAAATGGAATACACGATCAGTCCTGGATGACATATCCAAATACAGGCGATACAGGAAAACATCGAAAAGTCAAAAAAATACTTCATCTGAGAGTAGAAAACGATTGTGTCCCAACATCTACTGAACTTCGATGGATTTCAACTGCAGGAGCTTCGCAGCAGTGACCTCCGGCATCCGCCAGCTGTTTTTACTCCCCACGATCCATCTGGTAATCCCATGATCGCAACATCCCGGGAGAAGTGGCAGCCGCACGTGCGCATCAGCACATGTAATGCATCTCAATCTCAATCGATTATTCGAAGGGGGACAGAAATAGGTAGCCGACAAAATGCTTGGTTGGGTGGTAGCTCCAGCTTCCTCATAGCATCAAGAATCAAGTCCAACAGGGTTTTCTCAGGACTCATAATAGATAAATCATGATAAATCAACATTCATCTCTGTTTCCAGGACGATCACTTTGCTGGGCCTACCCCCAACCAGCTGAAGTTCTGGTCCCACTGGCTTCATGGGAAGTGGCAAAGGTGGAAAATAACCGCTGCGATTCTGGTGGCGATCGCAGCGTTGCGCTGATGGCTGCACCATTCGCCTGCGGAACTCCAATGTACAGTGCACAGTTCACGTGCAGAAAGGCTCAAAGACAGAGATCTGACATACCAAAAACATCCGCGCGACATGGCCCTGGCGGTTGAGAGGGACTCTGTTGGATGATGTTGGATGTCACTGAAACATTGGTGGCTAATGTGTTTTTCTATGTGTGTCCCCGACCGTCAAGGCCACGTGGAAGATCGCGCACACTTCTGCGAGGCTATGCCGTACACAAATGAACCTGTGTCAGCGAGGGTAGCCACCTGCGCTCTGATCAGCGCAAGTTATGAATTTATCACATCTGCGCAAGTCTGAATTCTGACCTCACAACGATCCTTTCATGGATCTTCACTGTATGGTCCCAAAATTCCCAAATCGCGGGCCGATCATCATGCTGCAAACGAAATTGTAGCAGGCGGACATCTGAGCCACGATCTTCTCATGATTGCGAGCCATCTCGGCCACTCGTTGGTTGATGGTGAGGTCTTCCAAGGACCGCTGCGAGACCTTCCGCAGAAGTTCGGGATCAACGGGCTCAAAGTGGTACACTTCCACTGTCTCCTGAAAGGTCACCTCAGAGGAATTGCTTCATTGGTTCATAGGGGATTTGAATACTTGATTTGAAATGTAGAATGTATATATATATATAGTGTATATATCTATATTATATATATACATAGTGTGTATCTATATAATTATATATAGTAAGTATAATCACGTTCACTATGATAACTGACAACAATAAATAGTGATAATAATAAGCATGACAATAAACAGTAAACATCATGATAATAATCCCTATCTAACAAGTTGGTAGAAGTTTAAGGATTTTGCGGATTGCTATGCGGGACTGCTCTGCGTTGTTTGATTCAATTTTAAGGAATATAATATAATATAATAATATTTAATATATATAATTTCATACACTTGTCTTGTTATCTATGCCTGAACCCTGGCAGGAGACGACCATCACCGTCTTGAATCATGAATCAAGACAAGATCGTGCACTTCCATGGTGGGACAGATTCAAGGCACGCACTTCCCAATCATTTTCCCATCATTTCCCCATTATTTCGATGGGTCAGTGCTGTCCAGTCGCGTTTGTCGTGCGCTTGGGAAATAGATCACAGCCATCCAAGGAAATCACCTGACAAAAATCGAAGATGTTCATGGCGAATGCTCAGAAAATATGGGGAAAATATGATAAACCATGATAAACCATTGGAGTTTTGCGGATTTTTTGGGGTATATTGGGGTATCCATGAGTATCCTATTTTTGACATGTTTTGTCTATGCTTCAAACAAACCCGCAAAACTATTCAGCTGGGCGGAAAGAATGCCTTAATGCGGACGTTCATCGTCCAAGCCGGATGATTCTTTTGCATCCCCCACATGGCAGTGCAAACCCCAGCAAAGAAACATCATCAACCATCAACCATCCAAAAGCATCCTTTACCATCATTAACCATCCTTCACCATCATGAACCACCACTATAGCATATCTAGCCATTACCATCCTTCACCATCACCATGAACTATCAGCTGCAGCCCGCCTCAGGATCTTCTTCTTCGTCTTCAACGACTTGCTTGCGGCCAATGTTCGGCGTGCTGACCTAGGGCAGTTGGATCATGGGCGACCAGTAAGAGGTCAACAACCGGAAGATTTGAGCAAGTTGATTAAGTTTGAATTGCTGTATGTAAGATCTGAAATAGGACAATCAAACAAGATCTGAGTCAATCAACGTCAATTCACTGTAGTAGATCAAATACAGTCGGCACCAAACATGACCGAGCTGCACAACGCTGCAAGGGCTTGTCACAAGTGGCTCGTGCCACACGGCGCGCGGGGGAATAATCCTGCGGAAGCTGAGGATAAAATTTGGCTTTGTCCAGATTTACCATGATTTAGCCCCAAAAAGGCTATATATTGTTAATGATCGGAAAATGATAATGATGTCCACAGGATTTGTAGGGGGTACCAGTTCTTGGAAATAGTACCGGTATTGGGCAGGAAGGGACCCAAATAGTTCCGCCCCAGCAGAGAAAAACCAGCTCCCTTTGAGTCAGTATGAGTCAGTCATCACTTCTGCATGACAGGAAGTGAAAGGAATAGTCAGAGATAGTCAGAGGCTCTTAGAGAACAAGAACCAAGAAAAAACACGCCACCAGCACCAGCAAGTCCTTCAGTGTTTCAATCTTCAAGGTGGATGGGCGACGAGGTGATCCTGACTGCCAAGTTCTAGCATCACATCTCCTGTGGCTCATGGCCCCATGGCACCAACAGCTGCGTGTCTCCCCGTCCTAACTAGTAAGGGGGAACTTTGCGGGAAATCTGATACATGAACTGCTTAGAAAAAGCTGTGCAACTGATGTTCAGACCGTCTCCGAATCTCTGAATTTGACGAGTCAAAGACATAGTAGCTTACAAACCAGCCGTTCAATCCTCTAGCAGTTAAGGTATAACTAAATCATACCCCCTTTTTCCCTTCTTCAACTTCTACTCATACCCAATTTGGCCCATACCCATGCTATGTTTGACCCTAAGACAGTCCTCCACCCACAGGGTTCAGCAAGGACCACCATTGCGAGGTCGCAAATTGCGCCACTTAGCCACGCTGCTTTTCGACGAGACGAGAAGACAAAGTCCCAGAGAGGGACGTGTTCATTGCAAATGGCATGATAATCATGAGAATACTATGATAATGTCATGATGATGTGGTGACAATGACAATGATTGCGCAGTGGGCTGTGATTGGGCGGATGGCAGCGGAGGCAAATGCAAATGCTTGGCTTGGTGTGCTCTCATGTGACAAGACACAATGAAATACCTCCTGCCCGGTTCAGTCAGATGCATGTGCTAGACTCTGGAATCACCAAACTGAATGTGGTAGCAATCGGTAGCAATGCTGAAAAAAAAAGTCGCTTGGATGTGCCATCCACCATCATCCACCATCATCCACCATCATCCACCATCATCCACCATCATCCACCATCATCCACCAACTTCAATATCAAAATTGGATTCCCAAGCAGTATCGGGAAGTGAAGCATTCAATCTTCAATTTCCCGTGGTTCTTCTCACTTTCCTATCCAAAACAACATCTCAAAAGGTCCTCTCGAAGGACCGATTCAATCAGATTGATCGAGCAGGTGGGAGAGAAGCCTCAGCCGCATGTGGCTCAAAAATACCAAAATGAGGTTATTGGTAGGCAACTAGGCACCCGATAATCTGGTGGATTTTTAGAGTGTTTACTATAGTGTATCATATAGTAATATATATATGTAATTATATTATATTATATATATGTATTAGATTTATATACAGTAATGTAATGTGTTCCATGATATTGCTGTCGGTGGATTCGAACCAATCCACTCACTAAGCTCAGTGCAGTGGTGAGCACACAGCTCATTCTTTGACAGCAGTCGGCTGTTGAGTATATCCTGAACATGAAAATGAACAGGTCACAAGGGTGTGTCTGAACATGAAAGATACAAGGATACCGGATACCCCATCAAATCTCATAAATGATCGAAAACGGCATTCAAAAATGCCGTTTTCACATCCAAAAACTAAGACTCAAACTAAAACCAGTGTTTTTTTGGCAAATCCAAATAGACACTGCAGGGCTGCAGGGCATGGAACGGCCTGTGAGGTATTGGACATTGCAAGAACCACTCGACCTCGGGACGCCATGTTGGATGGCAAAAAATGGCACCCTCGAGGTTGCGAAGATCTTGCTCTTTCTTCAAAATTATATATATTATATATATTATTATTATTATCATTATTATTATTACTGTATTATTATTATTGTATATATATTATTATACTATATGATATTAAATCATGTTAAAGTATATTATATTATACCAAATTATATCATATTATATATTGTATCATATTATATAATCAAATCATATCAAAACTTATTATATCATATTATATCATATTATATCATATTATATCATATTGTATCATATTATATCATATCATATTACATGAAATTAGATTGTATTTTTAATATATTGTTTATATAATATTATATATACATTATATAATACTGTATTATGTATTATATTACTATAATATATTATATGACATCATACTATACTATATCACGTGAATAATGATATTATACTATATTAAACTATATTTCATTATATAATTATATCATGTTCGATCTATTATATAATATTATATTATATATTATATTATAGCACATATTAAAGATTAAATATTATATTATACATAATAGATTTTTTTTATCGTATACTATAATATATAAATACATAATATATTATATACTATATACTATATATTATATATTATATATTATGTAGTTTTTATTATATATTATATATTATATCTAAAATATTATATATTATATATTAAATATTATATATTATACTAACTATAATATTATAGTTTATATGATGTACAATATATTTACTATGACTATTATATATAATATACTGTAATATATATATATACATAATATATTATATATTATATACTGATATATATATATACATAATATATTATATATCATATATTATATATTATATACTAAAATATAAATATAGTATGAATATATCATACTATATTATGTATATATATTATTATGTGTCTATATATATATAATATATATATATACTATTATTATTATGTGTATATATATATAGATAGATATATTACTATGTGTATGTATATATTGTATGTAATATGTATAATTCATATAATATATAATATAATATATCATATGTAGTATATAATAAATGTAGTATATAATATATGTAATATAATATCATATATAATATATCATATTATCATATGTCATATTAAATATATATATACAAAGTATATTAATTATATATATAATTATATATATACATAGTATATTAATTATATATAATGTATTATATAGTATATTTTAATTCTAAACAGATTGCCATTCTTCACCTTTCTCCTGAACAGGGTGGAAGCCCGCACAACTTGGACAACCAAAAAGTTCCGTCGTTTTTACTTGGGAGCCAACGAGAGCCCCATCCGCTGCTATCAGATCGGCGCTCAAACACCTTGCACAAGTATGTTGGTGTGGCGGACAAGAGTTCTAGCTTGCCATGTTAGGAAAAAGGATGAAAAGAGCGGCCAAATCGAATCAAGTGACATTGATCACTGGTGCTTGAGGATGACGGCTGATGCGAAAGCCCGTGGAGGTTTGAAAAATCCGAGCATGTGCTCGCGCAAGAAGAACTGCTATCCAGAGTCCGACTGGGCCAGCTCCAACCACTGCTATGCGTGTGGGTGGTGCCTCCGGTGCACCTGTAGGACTAACACTTCCACAACTTGCACTGGGTGAAGCTGCCCGCAGCTCTTGCGGCTCGCTGGCATGGCTCACGTGGCCATGACTGGGAGAGGACCAGGGTGAGGCACTGCTTGGCCCAGCTTCCAGCAGTGGCCGTCTCTCCAACGGCAGGAGGCACGATGCAGTCTGCGCCGGGTTTGGTGGTGGTGGTGCCATTGACTTTGAACAGTGACTTGGCAAGCAGCTGGGCAAGCCATGCGGGAGGCTGTGAGGGAGGCCTTCGGTAGGCGCAGGTCGGATAGCTGGAGCTCGCCCCCACACCCTGCACTCAGATTTTGAGGCGCCAAGTGGGTGCTCGGCTCCCATCCAGGACTTCCAGGCCCAGACATTGCAGCCCGTAGCCATCAGATTTGTTGGGCTATGGCTGGGAGCTGTTGGGCGCCCTGGATGTCCTGGATGCCCTGGATGCCCTGGATGCCCCGGTTTCCGGAGGACCGGGCAGGAGCCGGACCTGGACAATGGGGATTGGTGACTTGGGCGAAGCGGCTTTGACATCGGCTTGCCAAAGCTCACCTGACTCTCCTGGCTTGTCCTTCCAACGCAGCATGGCTTCTGAACCGCCCAAACGAGGCTGTCAGTGTTGCTTTGGTAGCGTGTGTTTTTGAGAGCTAAGAAACACTAAAGGTCACTTCTTCATGGTTCTTAAAATTCATCGTATTGCTAATGTATACTGTGTAAACATCCCGTTCACACATGTGAACTGTTAACACAGGATCCGGTGGTCTGGAGTTCTCACATGCCCATTTCTTCAAACTGCCTGCTCTGGTGATGTTGGTCCAATTTGCTAAGTGCTTGAGCAGCAAACGCATCTGTTGATGCACAGGATTGCACTTTCTCAAACACGGCAGAAGCAGTCTTTGCCTGTGAAGAACCCTCACCAATCAACAACGGGCTGCAAGTTCCACAAGAACTTATCTGATTTGGGCACATCTTGCCTCTGCACATCGGTTCGAAACGCAAAATGTACAAGCAAAGATAGGGGGGTGTCCATTAATGGGGTACCCCAATAAATGGTTGGTTTATAAGGTTTTATAATGGAAAATCCTATCAAAATTGATGATTTAGGGGTACCCCCATTTTTAGGAAAGCCCCATATACTTTGCTGAGAGAGGCCTGGTTTCTTCTTGCTCTTTGCTCTCGTCCTCGATGTCATTGCTGAATCCAGCATCGAAGCACGATGTCTCTGTCGATGGCATAAGGCACCGGCACTCTGGAGGAATGACAACGTCGAAGCCTCATTGTCCGCTCCGTCTGTGGGCCTGGAGCTTTCTCAGCTGCGATTCTGTACTTCACAGATCAAGTCATCTGTGCATGTCCCCAAAGAAAACAAAGAAAACAAAGTACTGAAAATTACTGAAATCTGTTGGTTTGGGATTCATGGTTCTCCAGTTCTCCAGATCCATATGATCCATGATGCTCAAGAGCCATGGATAGCCATGGGCAAGGAGGCCATCGAGGCCTCGCATCTCTCAGACACTCCATTCCAGCTATGTGACCTCAGAATCGAACCGGATCCAGGAAACACACAACTGCTGTTATTTCAGTTTGTCTCATCCAGCAGCGAGACAAAGCGCGCAACCACTCTGTGAAAACCTTCCAAAATCTGAGCAAGGTGCCTTCAGATTGAGTTTCCACGTCCTATATACCAAATCATAAAATCATCCAAACCGGAGTAATTAACTAGATCGTGTCTCTGTGTCAAGATCTCTCGTGTTACGCTGGCCCAAGGTCATAAAATGGAGGCCACGTGCAAGAGATACCCAAGTCATTCCCAAGTCATAGGCAATGCGGGCGTCAACATAACGTGTGATTTCATAAGTGATAATCCTGTTGCCCGTGAGCATCCTGTCCTTCAACGCCAGCCTCTCAGCAATTGTCTCCTTTCACTGATGAAAATCCAAATGAATCCGATACATTCAGCCACAATTCATGCAACTTCAAAGCACTTCGGCGCAGAAACTCTTTCTCCCAGCCGCTGGCCATGTCGGCCATGTGACGATTGAATGAAGCCCCACTCAGAAGGGCCAAAGCACGACACCACCATTGCATCGCCCCAGCATGGTGATACCTCAGACCCATCAGCCAGAGTTCTGAAGCCCTCACAAAGATGGAAGGGTTTCTTTCGTGGAAAGTCACCTGGAAAAAGGATTTAAAAAACCAGCCAAAAACGGTCTACTGGATTCTACTGGATTCTACTGGATTCCAATGGGTCTATCCCAACACTTGCCCTCACATCCACTACGGGTTAGTGACGGAGCTGGAAAGAGACTTGTCCTGTCACAATCTCAGGGGCTCACCAGGCTCACCCCTAAGCCATCTCTGGCCTCGGTCTTGCCTTGACCTGGACAAATGCCAAGCCCCTCCGGCTGAGCCATGATTCTGAGACATGATCGACTGATGCATTCATCATTTTGCGCATCAGTGCTGGGACAAGAGTTCTTTGATGTGGACAATACTCTGGGGCGTTTGAGTTCAGCTGAACTAATCAGTCCCAACCTTCTTCCCCTTTGATTTCGGTTGGCTTTTGACCATCTTTCCCTTCACCTAGCCGCTCTGCCGCAAAGTACCAACGGCAGGAATAGTCCGAAGCTAAATGTAGCTGAAGCATATTGCAGCAGAGAATCATAGTGCCGACCCTGGGTCCATAAATCTCTGCTCCATGTTGATAGGAAACTATCATTTGTTTGGGTTCAAGCGCCCAATAAATCAACCAGGGTGTTTATTAGTCCAAGAAATCTTTCACTTTTGATCAGCCTTGATCAAGTTCGAGCCCTTCTCCTCCTCTTCCTCTTGTGACTCCTCTGCGTCCATAGCCTCCAAAAAAAAAGTGAAAAGTGCACCAAGTCTGAGGGGCGGCAAGGTCAGCTTACAGGGTTGAGAGATTGCTATTTGACTGTGGCTGCAAAAGGTACGGCAGCAACAGATTTTTCTGCACCAGGACATACGAGATCTTGTATATATAATCAATAATTAATCAATAGCATCCATCAATCCTGGGAGCTCGAGCAGTTTTGCCATCATGATCTCATGACAATATTGACTCCAGCCTCATTTTCAGGGTCACCCACGGCAGCTTCAGTCCGCCGCCGCTTGGATGGAAGAACTACCTGGCCACCATGCCAAATACTTGAAATGAGCTGTCATCATAATCCTGGAAATCAATGGGAACATTAATTCATAGGGATTCCTTATAATTTTATAATGGGTATATTATGGTATATTCACCCTTGTTCACATGGAGATAACCCCTTTATGAGAAAATAGACTATGCTTTGACCATGCTTTGACCATGGCCCTTGGAAAGTAGTCATCTCTAGCCCAGATCCACCAAAAATCATCAGCAAACAGAAAAAAAAGAGTGCAAATGATCCGCATCATTTTCGCAAACGAAAATCTCCAAATGTTCCGGGTTTGTGGTTTGTGAATCACTTTCCCCCTGTGAGACCGAGTCCGCTTCCCGCTCGGAAAGCGAACTGAGGGCTTGATGTGGCATGGCCCTGAGTTCTGGGCTGTCCAGTCCAAGTCCAGTACAAATCCAACAAATCACAGGAATGCAAATCTGTGGAAATTATTTTGGAATGAATCAGATATCCATCACATATTCCAGGATCACTTTGAAACTGCTTTGAAATCCTTCAACTTATGGCTTCAAAATGCTCCCAACATCCATCCAAATGGATCAGGTAAAAATGTCTTCCAAATGGGTTTAATACTGCCGAGCAACGACTCCGCATGAAAACTATTGATTGCGATTGCATCTGCCGAAACAACGACTCTCATATTGAACATAACATATTTCTGATATTTGGGCATGGGTCAAAATATGTTTTAAAATATAAATAATGAAGATTAATGAAGCCACCATTGTGTCAATTCATGTGTCACGTCTTTTTTCTCGTGGTACCTTTACTAATTACATATGTTCCGACCCATGCCATCATATGCCATCCACACCAACTGCAATCGCTTCGTAGCAGGACTCCCAAGGAGAGACAAAAGCTCCGTTGAGAACCCTCTAGTTCTGCGCGCAGGGTAAGCCTCCGAGGCGAAGTGATGAAGAAATTCTAACCTGCTACCTGGCCTAAATTTGAAGTAGCTACAATGGGCGTCCATAACTTGAAGAACGGCAGGAAATTGTGAAATACAGTGCATATATGTGTGACAATGTATACATATTATATGAATTTATATGATTACATGTGTACATGTGCAAAATTGTGAACTACAATTTATCCGCTCCTGATCCCAGAGACAAAGGCTTTGTGGAGACTGGTGCTTGCAGCCATGTTTTCCTGTTTGAAAATTCTTCCAAGGATGGGATAGAAATGATGCTTCAGGACCTTCAAACACCTGAAAAGTTGTAGCATGTCGTAGCATGTCGTAGCATGTGCCATTCCTTCAACAGTTGCTTTGGCCAATCCTGCTGCACCTTCACTATGAATTGATTTTAGGCTGTGGATCGCAGTGCCTGGCGTCCTTTTAGCGAACTTTTGCCTTGCAGTGTAGCTACGGTAAAAAAAACACTCAAGAATGACAGTTATAGCTGTAGGCCTTTTCACTAAATGATCACTTGACATTTTAAGTGATTTTGAAACTCAAAAGCTATGGCTTCAGACAAACCGCACCTGGTTTTTCACCCCGCTGATCTTTCCTTGAACCCAATCTGGATCTCCCAGATATGTTCCGCCTCAGCGGCTGCAGCTGGACAGGCACCATCAGACACCACACAGGCCACCGTTGCGACCGGTTGTCTGAGCATCTTGCTAATAAGATCGGCATGGCCAGGAAGCGGCACCTCATCTCTTGAGAAGCTGCGGATTCAGATATCAGATCGTTCAGTGCTGCGCGACAGCAGATTTTGGGCTGAGAGTCCCGCAGGCTTCAACTGGCGGTTTAGTCTGTAGACCAGTGGTACCTCCAGTGATCCAAAGTTTAACACTTTGTGGCGGCCGAGCGAGCAGTGTTCAGTACCCGAAATGTCCTTCCTTTATACTGGTTGGTTAATGGGATTTCCATGGATTTCCCGTAATGGATGATGATCATCCCCAATATATTTGATGGTATAGCTCCCTACAATCATCAAGGAAAAGGGTTTTGATAGGGCTTTGAACATCGCTCGCATGTCGGCAGAGGCGCACCCCTGTGGGGATGTTCAGACCCACAATCTTGTCCTTGAAAAACAGGGATGGATGCCGACCCTTCCATAACTGACAAGAAATGGACAACATGTTTCACGGAAGACTTCTGCTTTGCACCTTATCCGCGTATCCTCTCTTCGGCTCCAAATACTCCAGTCATTGTTCATCATTATTCCAAGTGCTTGCTGATTGCAAAAGTAGCTTCCTATGGCCCCCATGATGCATAAATCCGGTTCCCTGCGGCTAGAAAGCACGGGATTGAGCCAGCCGTTGCATGTGCCGCACGAGATTCTCACCTTCCAACTGTGCCATCATCCAACATCATCCAACATCATCCAACATCATCCAGAATCCAGGTTCAAAATCATCCAACATCTTCAAGCTTGTCTTGCCCCAGCCATGCTCCCATGCTCCGCGTCCTCAGGTACGTTGTCCAAGATCTTGACCAGGGCTCTCAAGGAGTTGCCATGGGCAGCTATGAGCACCTGCGGGAGAAATGGGGGGGGGGGAAATTTCTGGTGGTCCAAAAGTCCCGAAATTGGATGTACCCTCTGGTAATTTAACATAGCTATTGAAAATGGCCATTTATAGTGAGAGTTCCCATAAAAAATGGTGATTTTCCATAGTTATGTTAGTTTACCAGAGGGTATCTGAAATTAAAAATAGATATAATTAGTGTACTGCAAGAACATGTTTTTCCCTTCAACTATTTTCAGTGTCCTTGTTAAGATTGCTGTTTGGGGTATGCCGGCATGACATGGTATGACCTATTTCTGAACAAGACCCAGATGGATAGAACACGAAACATGGTGGATAAAACAACTGAAAAGGATTGAACAGGTAGGGAAATACGTGCCTATCTGTTCTTTTGGCCACTGAAAACCAAGAGAAGAGGCACAACACCGGCAACAACCGTGAGAATTCCCCCATCTTGTGTGCAACATTGCCTGCGGTGCTTTCAAATGAGATGGTGTACCACCAGCTACATGGTATAAGATATTCTCATTATTTCTCATTGGTATCCATGGTGGACTGATGCTACATGGGAGGAATGGCAATCCACAGTTCTGACATCTGCTCCTCTGGTGTCCTCCTTCCACGTTGAGCAATTTTTCAACTTTGGGGCCCAACCTTCTTGCCCTTGCGAAGCTCAGGAGCAATACTTTGCCTCGCCAGGCAACGGCAGGCTGTTGAATAGACGCGCAAGGTGGGAGATGTGAAGTGCATCACCGAACAAAAGACCTTGAGCAATGATGTACTCCTTCTATCTCCTTATGGCCAATGGGCCCATATTATAATCGTAACTGCAAACAACTCCTACTTCATCATACATCATTGTGAAATAGTGTGAATATCTACATCAATATCCAATCAATAGGACAACGCCGCACCTCCAAACATCTGCGTTAGGATATTGATCTGCGACATGTTCGTCCTCTTTCTATCCCCACCTGAAGAAGGGAAGAACGCGATCGATGGTCAGCGCCAGCGACCTGGCACTCGATTCGAGAAGCTCCCAACGAGAAGTGTATCGTAGTGTATCTGATTGGTACAATTTCTTACCCATAGGATCCATGTATGGTATTAATTATATGCTAACATTGGGGGTATATTGATGGTAAATGTTACCATATATAGCATACATGGATCCTATGGGTTATGGATCCTAAAAGATCCGAATAGTATTGGAAGCTTGTCCCATCACAGGGGGTCCCAATTTTTCAATCCATTGCGAGAGCGATGCTTTAACTCCTGCCATCTGGGGCATACTTCGCCCTGTCCACATGTCGGGCAAACTCCGCGAGAGGCAACTTATTCTTTGGAATGTTCTTGTACTTGGGATCCTCAGGTCTGCGATTGTTGTGCAGGGGACAACCGGAAGATGCTGTCATGGCGGAATCGCTAAGTACGCCACCAACCTGGGATGGTATGGACTGTCTTCCTGCGCCCACGGGTTGTACGGGCGGAGTGGTTGAAGCATGTTGCACCCTGATCTCAGCCTTGATCGGAGGTGGTGGAACTGCATAGGAACGTCGCCATTCAGTCACCTCAAGGCACCCGGATGCCAAGCCGCCTTGAAGTTGCCATGGCAAACCCCCACTTGTTGGATCCTGTATGATCCTGTTGATAGTTAAAACATGTCAAAACATGATAAAACCCAACAATTACATCAATTACATCCCATAGACCACAGACATCTAGGGCACCATTATTGCAGGAGTGACATTACCCAGCGCCTGTTCTTCGCCGAACTTGTTGGTGGTCTCAGCTTTGTTCAAACCCTGCAGGTCACCGTACCTGTGCCATGGACTTGATAACGTGACACTTAAGATCGGTTTTCAAAATCTCGCTGTTTCGGTCATGTGAAGTGAAATATATAATTGAAAAAATTGAAAACATGTGATGAAGCTCCTAAACTCTGTGGTTTCCAATACCCACCCCCTAAGGGGGGGACCCCGTGCAACTGAAATATTTCAAGCGGCACCCCCCCCCCTTTTCGATTTTCCACGCAATGTGCACATCAGCTTGCTGGATCTTGGACCTCGTTGGATGCAGCAGGATGCAGCTGTAAATTGGGGATAAACAGAAAAACCATCCCTGTTGGAATTTAAGGGGGTCCGTCAACTACCCATGTTTGTAGATATACATGGGGGTGCCTGACCATAGTTGATTTGTCCAGGTTCTCTACAAACATGTCCTTTAGTTGCCACCATGCTCAAAAACACTCAAAAACAAACAAATCTAATTCAAATTCATTCTAGTTCTCTACAAGAATGAGGGTTTAGGGTTTGTAGAGGATTCGACTATGCGCGCGCGCGGGGGGCACGTGCACCGGCAAAATATAATATCACTTATAATAAAGAAGACATATGGTTGACTGGGGAGCGTCGTTCAAACTATGGATGATTTTTTGTTCCTCCGAAAATACCGTTCTCGTGAGACTGCGCGTCCGTGCAGTGGCAGCATCTACGCAAACCAGCTACGCGGGATGGTAAGAGGATGGCACGCAAGCAAAATAGCAACCAGATAGGAGTGCAACACACAGCAAGAATATTGTCAAGGTACCAATGCGCGCGGGGGACGCGTTCACCAGCAAAATATATCACCTATAATATAGAAGACATATGGTTGACTGGGGAGCGTCGTTCAAACTATGGAAGATTTTTTCTTCCTCCGAAAATACCGTTCTCGTGAGACTGCGCGTCCGTGCAGTGGCAGCATCTACGCAAACCAGCTACGGGATGGTAAGAGGATGGCACGCAAGCAAAATAGCAACCAGATAGGAGTGCAACACACAGCAAGAATATTGTCAAGGTACCAATGCGCGCGGGGGACGCGTTCACCAGCAAAATATATCACCTATAATATAGAAGACATATGGTTGACTGGGTAGCGTCGTTCAAACTATGGATGATTTTTTCTTCCTCCGAAAATACCGTTCTCGTGAGACTGCGCGCCCGTGCAGTGGCAGCATCTACGCAAACCAGCTACGGGATGGTAAGAGGATGGCACGAAAGCAAAATAGCAACCAGATAGGAGTGCAACACACAGCAAGAATATTGTCACGGTACCAGCGCGCGCGCGCGCGGGGGGCACGTGCACCGGCAAAATATATCACTTATAATAAAGAAGACATATGGTTGACTGGGGAGCGTCGTTCAAACTATGGAAGATTTTTTCTTCTTCCGAAAATACCGTTCTCGTGAGACTGCGCGCCGGTGCAGTGGCAGCATCTACGCAAACCAGCTACGGGATGGTAAGAGGATGGCACGCAAGCAAAAATAGCAACCAGATAGGAGTGCAACACACAGCAAGAATATTGTCAAGGTACCAATGCGCGCGGGGGACACGTTCACCGGCAAAATATATCACCTATAATACAGAAGACATATGGTTGACTGGGGAGCGTCGTTCAAACTATGGATGATTTTTTGTTCCTCCGAAAATACCGTTCTCGTGAGACTGCGCGCCCGTGCGGCAGCATCTACGCAAACCAGCTACGGGATGGTAAGAGGATGGCACGAAAGCAAAATAGCAACCAGATAGGAGTGCAACACACAGCAAGAATATTGTCAAGGTACCAATGCGCGCGCGCGGGGGGCACGTGCACCGGCAAAATATATCACTTATAATAAACAAGACATATGGTTGACTGGGGAGCGTCGTTCAAACTATGGATGATTTTTTCTTCCTCCGAAAATACCGTTCTCGTGAGACTGCGCGCCCGTGCAGTGGCAGCATCTACGCAAACCAGCTACGGGATGGTAAGAGGATGGCACGCAAGCAAAATAGCAACCAGATAGGAGTGCAACACACAGCAAGAATATTGTCAAGGTACCAATGCGCGCGATTGTGGAAGATAGGATTTAGGGTTTAGGGTTTGTACTAGATTGAGGTTTAGGGATTGTGGAAGATTAGGGTTTAGGGTTTGGGGTTTGTAGAAGATTAGGGTTTCGGGAGTGTGGAAGATTAGGGTTTAGGGTTTAGGGGTTGTAGGCGCGCGCCGGGCGCGCGGATTAGGGTTTAGCGATTGTGGAAGATTAGGGTTTAGGGTTTAAGGTTTGTAGCAGATTGAGATTGCGCGCGCCGGGCGTGCGGATTAGGGTTTAGGGATTGTGGAAGATTAGGTTTAGGGTTTTTCCCCGCCTGCCAGGTGAGGGTTGCTAGATTTTATCAGAGCTGTTCTCGGCTAAATCTCCTCCTCCTCCTCCTCCGCCCCTTCTCCTCCTCCTTCTCCTCCTCCTCCTACTCCTGCTCCTCGTCCTCCGCCTTGTCTAGCTCTTCGCCAACGTCCGAGCTCAGTGTGCACCGCTGGACCTCAACCTGGCACTTTCCCAGCTCAGTGAGCACCGCTGGACCTCAACCTGGGACCTGCCCAGCTCAGTGAGCACCGCTGGGCCTCAACCTGGGACCCTCCGAGCTCAGTGAGCACCGCTCAACCTCAACCTGGGACCTGCCCAGCTTAGTGAGCACCGCTGGACCTGAACCTGGGACCTGCCCAGCTGAGTGTGCACCGCTGGACCTCAACCTGGAACCTTCCAGCTCAGCGTGCACCGCTGGACCTCAACCTGGAACCTGCCCAGCTGAGTGTGCACCGCTGGACCTCAACCTGGAACCTGCCCACGGCCAGATAGAATGCCAGCAGATATGCCAGATAAAGTGCCAGAATGTTTGCCAGATAGAATGCCAGAAGGTATGCCAGATAGAATGCCAGATAAAATGTCAGTAGAATGCCAGATGGAATGCCAGAAGATATGCCAGAAGATATGCCAGGTAGAATGCCAGAAGATATGCCAGATAGAATGCCAGAACATATGTCAGATAGAATGCCAGAAGATTTGCCAGTAACAGAATGGATAAATGTCATGGTGGGGATCACACGAAGTAAAGTAATTAGGGAATGAAGCGCTCTCACCTGTAGCCAAAACAGTTAGTTGCTCGCAGTACTCCTGGGTGCTGCAGAAACAGCACCCTCTGTAGCCCAAACAGTTGCTCACAGTACCCCTGGGTTTTGCAGAAGAAGCTTCCTCTGTAGCCTTGAGTTTCCCAATTTTTCCCACTTCGGACACAGAGATCTGGGGGCTAGTTGTGCTACCGCCGGCCGTGCCATAGCGCAACTGCCCCCTGGACAGCGCAACTTGGACCGAAAAAGCAACGTTATTTGATCCTGGTTGTGCTACCCGAAGCTGTGCTACCGCCGGCCGTGCCATAGCGCAACTTGCCTCATCGGGCCTCCAAAACGACCGATGAGGCAAGTTGCGCTATGGCACGGCCGGCGGTAGCACAACTAGGCTTCGGGTAGCACAACCAGGATCAAATAACGTTGCTTTTTCGGTCCAAGTTGCGCTGTCCAGGGGGCAGTTGCGCTATGGCACGGCCGGCGGTAGCACAACTAGCCCCCAGGGATTCGGGGAACGGCCAGTTTCAACATTTCTGGATCATTGCGTTCAAAGTGGAAATTTCAACGATTTGGCTAGAGCAGAAATTGTTTCTGCAGCACACAGGGGTATTGTGAGCAACTGTTTTGGCAACCGAGGGGGCCGTTTGTGAAGCACCCAGGGGTACTGTGAGGAATTCTTTTTGTTGATACAAAGCTGATTTAATTGTTTGCCTTTTTTTTTCCCTTGGATCGAGGACTTGGGGAGTGGCTGCATGGTTGCGAGGCATCATGGCCACCAGAGTTCCCTCCGAGCTACATTGAGTGGCTCTTGAATGTCGAGGGTTCTGATTTGACACACTCTGAGGGCACAGCTCGGTTGAGCTCCATCAGTTGCGACCTGACGAACAAGGTCGGGTGGCGCCCGGTCTCACCTCAGACCTGTCTTCTCAAGGTCTCATCCGTTGAAGACAGGGCCGACTGGGGGACTGCGCTGAAGTTGCGCCACTGGCCTGCAGCCTAGTGAATCATTGATTTCATTTGATTTTTTAAATCTATCAACATATATAAACATCTGTCGTATGATGTTGAAGTCGTGTTGTATAACATGCATGCGACTGCTGCATGTTCGCATAGGCTGCTTACTGATTTCGTCGTATTTCAGTGCAGATAGCTACCCTCTCTCGCTGGAGGCAAAAGTGGCAACGATATGCCTTTTGAGATCATCAAAGGTCACCAACGAGCTGGTAGCTTGCATTGCTTCATGCTGTACCTCTTCAGCACTGACAACGAGGCGCGTACATCTCTAAAGTCATGGGGTGTGACATGGTGCAACCGGGGCATAGTCGTCGATCATATTTGTAAACCGGTCGTGCAGTCCTGTGGGGTGAGGCACGCGTTTCATCAGAACACGTGCTTGGTATTGTTTTGCAGGTATGATCTTACAGCAGCTATCTGACTTCGGACAGAGCTGGGAAGATTATGGAAGATTTAATCTTCGCACCGACCATCGTCTGAATTTAATTGAGACCCCCTTCCTCGACATATTCCGACATATTCCGACACTGCCTTGGAAAATAGATACAAATTATTGTATATAATTGTATTATCCATCTTGTCACTTGTAGCTGGAAAAACGGCATGAATGCGACTTTCAACTCCAAGTTTCAGCTTCTCAGCTCATCCCCAGCCAAGGCTCCAAGTTTCACACACCGTTTTTCACCCTCCTGGGGTCCTCTCCTCGGCTGGGCGCCTGTGGTGCTGCTTCACCCAGAAGACAGACCTGGAAGCCTTCGCAGAGATCGCGGATCATGACCTTCGCAGGGATCGCTCAACCGCAACCGCTGGATGTCTCCGGCTGGACGTTTGCATATTTTTACTAGCAACGTGGCAGTCGGCTGTAAGTTGCTATGGCGACATGGGGAGCTGGGTGGGTCAAGCCACTATTGGTACCCGAAAAATGGTGGCGGTTTCCCATTCAAAATGATCAACAATTATGGACATTTGATGAATTTGTGGTAATCCATTGAGGAACCATGGCTATAAAACCCCAAACTAACCAGCAGGTGAACTAAGCCAACATATAGAGGTATATTTCTTCATGTTGAAATATCCCAGTTATACGTCCCACCTGCGCATCCAATTACTGCGTGCTTTTTTGAGCATGGCTGGAAAAGTTCCCCCAGCTATCAAATATGCAGCATAGATCAGCATAGTAATAGCATGTAATAGCATGTAATAGCATATAATAGCTGATGCGTTGCTATCAACAGGTGGTTTTGGGGGGATCCCCATGGATCCCCCATTTCAACATAACATCCATATTGGGATGCAAACCTATGCTGACCAAATGATCTTAACTATCTCAACTCAGGTATGGTGGATTGGGCATAGTATTGAGTGGTTGGAGTCTGCGAACGGACATTCAGAAAGGCCTACAGGGACGAGTCCATCAAAAAGATTTAAGAAGATGTCTTCCCTCCGCCTCACAACCGAGGAGATCCTGATTGAACTAAGTAGAAATCGAATTGAGTATGGGTCAAAATGGGGTACAAAACAATCCACAAAAATGGTAGCCAATCCATTTTGGGGGGGATGCTTTTTGACCCATACCTACTTGGGACCACAGAATGCATTTCATGCAATGCAGATCATAAGCAGATCTCTGAATCATGAACCATGCAAAGATGGATGGAATCGAGAAGTGCCCAGGGTATTCCGGCTCTATAGACCTCAACACATCAAACACTTCAAGAACCCCCAAAATCATGAAGTTCTCCCAAGAATCACCTGTTTAAAACGGCATACCAAGTCCTTCCCGACGGCGTGTGAAAAAAAAGGCCATCCCATAGCTCCAGCCTGCTGAGGGGTCAATCTCTGCATCCTGCCAAAGGATTGGATCAACAGTCTGCACTGTAAAATTGCCAAACATTTTCTGGATGGTTTCAACCCATCTGAAAAATATCAGTCAGATATAGTCAGATTCGACCATCATTTTCAATACATGGGAACAGAAAAAAATGTTTCCAGCCACCAACCAGTCCTGGCAACTGGAACATGGTTTGAACATGTTCCCCGCAAACCAGACGTTCGCCCACCCGCAAAACGTTGGAATATTCAAGAAACAACCACCGCTACTTCGGGAAGACTACCGCTACTTACTTTCATTATAGAAGATTCTTGACAAGTTACAAGAAAGTTAAAAACCCCCCATCCCCGCAAAACAATATGTTCAATTGGAATCTTCAACAAACAACCACCGCTGCTTAGGGAAGACTACCGTTACTTATTATCACTTAGAATACAGAAAGTCAGCGGCGGGCAAACGTCCGGTTTGCAGCGAACATGTTTTGGACAGAGTAAAACTACATGAACAAAGTCTGGGATCGAACTCGGAGCGCCATCATCACAAACCTTTCCATGCTTCCCCATCACGGTGCATGGGGTCCAGCTTTTGAAGATTAATATCAGAGTTTCAAAACCTTTGGCTAGATGTCTATGACCGTCGGTCACCAATGGGCAATGGTCCAGAGCTGAAAATGGGAAACTTAGGCGTTTGAGAGGTAAATCAGGGATCTTAGGGCGATGTTACCTTTGAATGAGGTCAAACGTCTCCTGGAGACACAGGAAAAAAACCGTGGATACTTTTGAGCCAGTGAATGTTGTTTGCATCACTGGTGACTTCACATATTTTCACTGGAACAATAAAGGTCAATCACAAAGAAAGAGTCTTGAACCGCTGAAGTAACCAGTCCTATGCCACTTTTCCTCTTGTCTCTCTCATCAAACATCTGGATTTCATGGGAAATTGGAATCACAAGAGTCACAGGAGAGCGTCATCTCTGGATTTTCATTGGGTTCCATTGGAATTTATAAAAGTTCACTCAACCCCCACTCACCCATCAACAGCCACAGCCTGTAAAAGCGCTGCGGTCCTGAGTCCGAAATGGCCAGGAACTCAGAGAATGAACCAACCCATCCACCGAAAACCAATGAATCTACCACTGCTGATTTCACGACGCTTCCATCATATATTGGTCACCAGTGAGAACATCATCCCGACTGGCTGGGTAAAAATCAACATCTGTTTCAAGTCACCAAGCGCTTGAAGCCAGGCCCCCGGGCCGGGAAACTTCATTTGCCGGAAGGAGTGCCAGCTTATGGCCAGCCTAGGTCACTATTCCCCACTGGACCCCGCTGCCCCGTCTCCAATCCGAAAGGGAGTCACTTGGTAATGAAAAAAAACGACTCGGAAAACGTGTGCGCTTGGGGGGTTTGAAGTGCCTGAGACCTTGAACATTCCAAGAAATTCTGGTGGTTCGATCCCAAACATATGAGTTCAATGGGATCATCATGCCCTTTTTAGATGGGAAACTTCAACCCAGATGTCGAAGCACCAGGCTTCGAAATGCCCTCCTGGGCTGGTCCCTCTTCCAAGCTTGTGAACTGGGCCATCCCACAACAGCCGTTGCCAAAAAGAACAGCTTCAGCATGCGGGCGAAGGGAGCGAAGAGTTTTTCGTCACCAGCCCAGAAAAAAAAACACACACAAGATCAAAGATCCGTCTAGTGGCTGGAGTTGAAAAAAATCTTCAAATATGTTCAGTTCAAACTTATATTATCAATGGCCATGAAAGGTGATGCATTTGTCTATGTGGCAATGATCACCATGAAGAAAAACTGGCAAACGGCCATATGGCCCCTCTGTGTGGGACCTCGGGGAGCCATTCAGCAGCAGGGATCGTCTCTGTGAGCTCCATTCAATGACTTGGCGATTTGGCCAATGAGTTTGCAATGGTTAGTTCTATTTAGTAATGATTTAGTAATGATTTATATATGCATGTATGTATGCATGCATGCATGCATGTATGTATGTATGCATGTATGTATGCATGCATGGATGTATGTATGTATGTATGAATGTATGCATGCATGGAACTATGCGCTCCATTATGTCCGAAAATGTTGGAAAAAAATGAAAAGTAGCTGAGATTGAAAACATTCCAAAACTGAAAGGGGGGGGGTTGGAACTGAAATCATTTCAAGAAATGTTTGGGGGTACCCCCCCCTAAAATTTCAAGAGATAGGGAGGGGGTATGGTTTCCACATTCTCATCCACCCCTTCCTCCAACATCTTCCATCCTCCGGACCGCCGGAGGCACATGCGCTCGTTGAGTTTCCAGCTCTTCGTCACTGGGATCCACAGCGCATCCAGCTCCTCTAAGGCCAAGTTCAACGTCTTGATGGCCCGCTTCTGATAGCTCGTGAAGGCGATATCTAAACCTCATGCGAGGTTAGCACCCAAGAATGATGGGCTTTTTTTGGAAAATGGTCTCTGAAAATCATGGGAAAACGATGGGAAAACTATGGCAAACCCCGGAATCTGATGGCGATATCAGCATGTTCCATTCAAACTTGCAATCTTTGGTAATATCTCCCATGTTAAGACTGTCAAGACATGTTGTGTTGATTAGAAATACTTGGTCAATGTGGGTGGGTCATGAACAGCAGTTGTTCTCCCTCGCCACTTGGTTCCCAACTCAAATTGGCTTCATGCATGAGCCTGCACCAGCTTCATCCCGTGCTTCAGATACATATTTGATCATATTTGAAGATTTATTAAGATATGACTGATAAGATATGATAAGATATGTTTAATTATAGATTGTATTTACGATATACAGATTAATGTGGACTGGTAGTAGTCAGTGAAGGGATCATGAACCAAAAACGTGTTGCTCCAAGCATGCCCTGCCGTTCCACCTGCCAGCGTTCACAGCTTCCTCAGCACCTTTCGCTGAGACATCCACATCCACCCAGCCTGCGAAATGAAAAGATGATGCATCAGAAAGCCACATCATCATATTCTACCATATATTCTACCCTCTTTCTGATGACTACTTTTGAGGTGTTTTTTGCTGTCAGGCTTCACCCAACGGAAAACCGCACCTGTAAATCGATTTTCAAGGTTCCACTCTGACCTTGGCTATCCGAACCATATCCTCCAAGTGGCTGGAAGATCTGGAACTTGGTAGCCCAAATTCCACGCCATCGCCAAGACTCCAAGACTACAAGACTCCACTCGTTTTTGGATAGAATTCACCAAACTGAAAGTGATTATAGCACAGTGATTCTTTATATTGGGGAAATCCCCTTAACATTTATCCTCTGGCGATTTAAGAGTCATGGAAAATCCCATGGAAAATCCCATCCCATCTGAGATCGCGACTCGCCATGGCGCAGCAAGACCAAGGTATGAGTGCCGTAGGATTCGATGGTGGACACATCCAGCGTTGCGATGCCTAAACCTCAGGAAGTCGGATGCCTAAAGATCCTGGGTGAGTAAAATATGGTTACTATCTGGTTATGACTAACATAGCCATGGAAGCCATGGCCAATTTATAGATGATTTACCTATTAATAGCATGGTGATTTTCCATGTTAAATAACCAGAGGGTAAATCACCAAAGAAATGTGTGCTTCGGGTTGTTAAATGGGTTCTTGTTGATGTATTGCTACATCTGCATCATTTTTCTCAGAGGGCGAAATGTTGTTGTCACTCTGGAATCTGGATTCCCTTCATTGAAACCTTCAGTGAACGAACCCATGAATTTTGATCTACGCAGACGTTTACTAAAAAAAACACATCGTCAAGGTCCAAAAATTGGTGCGACAAATAACAGCTATGCGCAGCTATGCGCGGCTCACATTGATATGAGATCGGGAATGATCGGGACACGTTTGCTGGGCCTCCGGCGTATGCCAAGAGCCACACTAAAAGCAATCACCTCATCATCCGTGCTGAATCCATGACTCGGTTCAGCACATTCCCCCCGTTCTGTATGATATATCAAACATCTGGCGTTCAGTGTTATATATGACATTATCATACGTGTACAATGTTTGTATATATATATATGTTTAATATTGTTTAATTATGTTTATGTGTTTGAGTTTGTACATGTATGTATATATAGTGTATCTGTATGTGTTTACATAAATATTTAAATATATGCTACCCCCCAAGACCTACCCTTTTATGGGAGCTGCAAAATTTACAATCCCAGCACTGTAAAAGAATTCCTTGTATAAGAAAATCGGGGGCTGGATTTGCTTCCCGCGTAGATGTTTTGTGGATTGTGGAATATATGGAAATTAAGAAATTGAGGGACCCTGGAATCTTCAAGCCTAAGAAATTTGGATGTTTGAGAAGAAATTGATGGGCACAAGAGCAGGGTCAGGCTCAGAAGAACAGTTCGCGCTCTGGAAAGACCATCCAACAACCCCTTGCATTGCCTTGCATGGCTAAGAAGAAATTGAGGGGCTCGATTTCTTAGCGAAGTATTGGGTTTAATATTGGATTCAACCCTTACCCGGTAACGTCTCCTCTACACAAGGCTCTTATAAACCCCTACATGGTTAAGAAATTCAGCCGCTTCACTTCTTAGCCAAGTATTGAATTTAACCCTTACATAGCTAAGAAATCCAGGGGCTGGATTTCTTAGCCATGTGTTGATTTTAGAAACTAGCCTTTACACCTGCCCTGTGAAAGAGCTGGCTCCTACTCCTACCCGGTGAAACTGCTGGTTCCTACCCCTAACGTTGTGGAGACTGTATGAAAATCTATCTGCTCTTGCGTTTTGCCCTTTCATTGGCTTTAATCTAAATTTGGAATGTGTCACCGGCAAAATGCCGCATGAACCTGTTTTCATTTAAATTTTGCATGTCTGTTTCCTGAAGCCAAGGAGTCAATATGCCATATGCGTCAGCATGTTGGGAATCTTGGGTGGGTCATTGTATACTACATTTAGAAATTGCTAGGGAATTGAAGGGCCTCGACCGATTAATTAATTGCACATGCACACTGAAATACATAGGCCCTTTCCGTTAAGAAATTGAAGGGCCCTGGCCATCGGCAACCAATATTCTTATATAACGCTCGCGCTGTATCTCAATCTTCCCTGGACTTGGTGCCTGGTGCTGGCCACTTTTGCGCATGTGCACCTGCTTGCATTCTGATATTGTCGGTGATCCTGTTTTTCAAACACCGCGAACACCTATCATTCACCTGTACGCCTGCTTGCATGACTTTTTAAACTTCCTTCCAAGAATTTTGTGTTTGTGCTCCACGGGCTCCACATATCGTGGCGAAAGCCGCTTCCAGGCACCACGGACTTTCACTCGTTTTTTGCAGTGAATGACGCAGTCATGCAAAAGTCCCAGCATGCGGGTTCTGTCGCTTTTCGCTTAAATCACTACTTACTTACTTCCATCCATCCATGCATCCATCCGTCCATCCATACAAACATACACGCAGACAGACATACATGACATACAGACATTCATATATACAATATTATACAATTGCTTTCGGTCATACACCGGCATGTCTAAAGACTGCCCATGTAAGGCGCACAACTGCCAGTCGAAGCTGTTGTATCAGCAGAAATCTTCAAATTCTTTTTCCCATACAACGCGGTCCAACCACTCAAAATTTTGGATCTTGGATGTACTGGTCCAAGATTTCTTGGATTTTCTTGGCAAGACGTCCAGGAAATCTTGGTTCTAGACCTCCAGGAAATCTTGGATCGACTAATGTCAACTTGTCAGACTTGAGAAAGACAAGACTCTTGACTTGTCAGGCTTGGGAAGACTTGTTAGTTGAGGTGTGTGTGTATATGTAGTTGAAAAGGTAGGTCCTGGGCGGGAAAATGTATATATATATACATATATAATATATATATAATATATAATATATTATATATATATATGTATATACATAATATATATATATACACAATATATATATATATATACACAATATATATATATACATCATATATATATATGGGGGTTGTCCAAAATACCTTTTCCCGGACAGCCCTCAATCGCTCAGCCAATCGCGTAGCAACCGCGGTACCACAGTGAGCAATCGCGGAAGGGTTTGTTCTTCGTTGATCAGAATCATATACATAAAATATAAGTTATGTATTAAATAATGAGGATCCATGCGTGAACGCATTCGATTTCAAATTTGGGAACAAAATAAGCTCGCGCGGTCCGGAAACGGTCCGGAAAACTCACAGTAGTACCAGCAGCAGTAGTACTAGTAGTACTAGTAGTACTAGTAGTACTAGTCGTCGTCGTAGTAGTAGTAGTAGTAGTAGTAGTAGTAGTAGTAGTAGTAGTAGTAGTAGTAGTAGTAGTAGGAGGGGTAAGAGTAGGAGTAGGAGTAGTAGGAATAGGAGAAGGAGTTCTAGTAGCAGGGCAAGGGAAGAAAGGGAGAGGGAGGGAAAGAGAGAAAGAGAGAGAGAGAGGGAGGGAGGGGGAAACAGATGGTTGCGTTTGACCGGTTTCTGACGGGTTTCTGACTGGTTTCTGACTGGTTTCTGACTCGTTTCTGACCCTTCAGCGGAACTCGTGTCAATTGGATTTAAAAGCAAGAGCAGAAATTCCTAGGTGTACTAGTGGTAGTGGTGGTGCAGTAGCAGCGGGTGTGGTGGTAGTACTAAGAGTAGTAGCAAATCTAGTAGTGGGAGTAAGGATCCATGCGTGA